TCCAGCAGGTTTTCAGAGGCAGTTAATCACATAGGAGTAAACAGCCCACAGAGCAGCTGGTGGATTTGAACCACGTGCCTTTGGGATTGCAGCACAGCTTCTTCCCACTAGGCTACCAGAGCTCCCTACAATTGATATTACCCTGCCCTAAAGAAAAATGCGGTTCTGATACATACTATGACATGGATGAACTCTGAATCCATGCTAAGTGACAGAAAGTTAATCACAAAAGGACAAATAATGCATGTTCTCACTTAGAGAATCTTTCTAGAATACAGAAAAATAGAAAGAACGGAGTTTAATTCATGGGTACCAAGGGCAAGAAGGAGGGGATAAAGAGGAGCCATTGTTTAGGAAATGGGTTTGTGGGGATCATGAGAAATTTGGCAACAATTATGGCGAAGGCTACACAACATGAATAACATAATAGAGATCACAAAGTCACACATGAAAAATGCTACATTGGCTAAGTGTGTTGTATTTTCACAACCATGAGATAAAAAGAACTTGCTCAAGATCAGAAAGTGAGAGAGAAGTGTCAGAATTAAATGCCAGAGTCCTGACCTTGGAATCCAGGTGTTAACCAGCCTTTTACATCCCAGGTGCTGAAGGAGGAGGAGGAGGAATTAGAGCCTCACCTGCTTACTCTCCCACTTCTTCCCCTCCCCCACCCTTCAGTAGTATATTTTAAAAATTCAAAGACAAATTTGAACCAGTTCTTTCAATTTCCCTCATTCTCCCATCCATCAAATTATACAACCCAATGATTAATTACCCCCTTCCCCCCCATCTCCCTACACATCCACATCCCTCTGCTTCCAGCCTCTCCCACCTTACTGGATCCTTATACTCATTCTACAATAACGGTTTTATACAATATTTATTCTTATGGGACTGAGCATAATGCTCTCCAGTCCCTCCCAAGTTAGGTAATACGTTACTAAGTTATTGCTCCTGTGTGCTGCATAGTATTCCATTATGTGACTGTAACATAATTTCTGATCCATTCGTTTGTATTTGGACATCTGGGCTGTTTCCATGTTCTTGCGATGGTGAATAATGCTGCTGTAAACATTGCTGTACCACTCTCCCGCTTCTGCAGTGGACTCCCAGCCTCGGCGACACCCCTGCCCCAGCACCAGCTGTACTTACGGTCCAGGCCGTTGATGTAACGCATGGTGACTTCACAGTGGCCCCACACAGCACTCACCACCGGGTAGAGCTTCTTACCCTTCAGGCCACGGAAGGCCACCCCCAAGTACTGGCCATCCACCACGAAGCTGAGCGTGCCTTCATCCATGTCCAGCACCACGAGCAGCGAGTCAGGCAGAGCAAAGGCCTCCTCGGGCCTCAGAAAGGCGGGGTAGGCCACACCTGGCTGGTTCTTGCCATCATGGTAGAGGCGACTGCGCCCTAGGTCCCAGCCCCAGGACTCAGCATCACTGCCGACCAGCGCTGTGTACCCCACCGAGTGCAGGGGCGCGCGAGCCGTGGCCACACCGACCACAGCGTGGGTGCCCCGCTGCCGGGCGGGCCAGTGGATCTGCCAGGCGTGCAGCCCACGCGTGTGGCCCACCTTGCCACGGATGCCGTCGGTGCTCTGCGCCACCGGGTGCCGGTGGAAGGTGAGCCGGTCATCGTCCTTGACGAAGACATTGAGCGAGCGGTCCTCGGGGTTCCACGCGTGCCGCAGCTGCACCGCCAGCCCCACGGCCGGCATGTCTAAGAGCTGGTCAAGCCTCACCGGCTGCCCGGGCTCAGTCCCACTCAGCTCCCGCTTGGCCGGCCGCAGAGCAGCCTCACGCACCTCCACCGACTTGAGACTCCCAGACAGCTTCTGGCCCATGGTTCGCGGGGGAGAAGGGACCGCTGCAGGCCACTCCTACCTTATGGGGGTCTCAACTCCTTGCAGCCAGGGAGAGGCCACTGGGCTTCTGGATCGTACAACTCCACGACCCCTACCAGGCTGGGGTAGGGGTACAAGCTCCTGAAAAGAAGCAAATGACACGCTTTATAGCAGCAGGAGCAGCAGTAAGGAAGTACTCATCCCTCCATTGGTACCCACCCCTCTATTTGTACTCATGCACCAGCAGAGCCCGTTGCATGCATTAATAATAATAATATTAACAATTAATAAAACATTTGGTACTTATCTAGCGTTTACCATAAGCAAGAAACTGTTCTAAGCAACTTACATTTATGAGATCACTAAATTCTCTGGGCCTTTCTAAAAGTTGTTGTTGTTGTCATTATGTATGAACAAGTTCACTCCAGCTCACAGCAATCCTGTGAACAACAGGCCTGAACCTTGCCCTGGTCTGCTTCGTCTCAACGTCCTCTGACATGTTCAAGCCCACTGTGGTGGTCACCATGTCAATCTATCATTATTTTTTTAAATTTATTATTAATTTCAATGAAAACTCACAGAGACTTTGGATTTCCATTCATTCATTGTTGCACTTTTCTCCCCTCCCAACCCTCCCCCCACCAGTACACTATCCTCTTGGAAAAGTAAAAGAAAAATTCTTTCATTATTTTACAATCCCTCCCCAAGGTCCACTCCACTATGCAGCCTTCGCTCTGGACTCCTGTCATGACAAAAGTACCTAATCACATATCCCTTTCAAATAGTTTTCTCCCTCATCTTTTTCAATGCAGTACACATTATTTATCCCATCTTTCTCAGTCTCTCCGCAACCTCAAGGTCAGTCCTGTTTTACAACAGTGGCACCATGCAGTATTTGTCCTTTTGTGACTGAGATACTTCACTCAGCATAATGTCCTCCAGGATCACCCATTTTGAATAATATTGCATGAGTTCCTTGTTTTTCAATGCAGCATAGTATTCCATTGTGTGAATATACCACAGCTTCTCTATCCATTCATTTGTTGATGGGCACTTAGGTTTTTTGCAACTCCTTGCTATTGTGAACAAAGCCACGATAAACATGGGTATGCATATCTCTACTTGGATGTCAGTTATGGTCTCTTTGGGGTATATTCTCAGTAGTGGAATTGCTGGGTCAAATGGTATCTCTATTTGCAACTTTTGGAGAAAGTGCCATACCGTCTTCCAAAGTGGTTGCACCATTTTACACTCCCACCAACAGTGAATAAAGGGTTCCAGTTTCTCCCCTACCTCACCAGCATTTGTAGCTTGCTGTTAAATTGTTCTGTTAAATTTTGCTATTCTGACTGGGGTGAGATGGTATCTCATAGTTGTTTTGGTCAATCTATCTTTTTGAGGGTTGTCTTCTCTTTCTGACACTCCACCTTTCCCAGTACGACATCTTTTACCAAGGACTGGTGCTTCATAACGACATGCCCAAGGTATGGAGTTTCACCTCTTTGCTGCTAAGGTGCAAGCTGGTTGCACTTCTTCCAAGATGGGGGGGGGGGACACACAACAACAACAACAACAACAACAAAACCAACCCAACATTATTATCATTTTGCAGATGAGAAAATGAAGAGTTGAGACAGTAAGTAATCAGTTAAAGACTTTATAGTGAGTAGGTGGTTGAGACAAGATTCAAACGAAGGCCACCTGGCTTCAGAGTTAAGAGCCATCATAGACAATCTTATCTAAGAGGTAAGGGCTGAGCCCTGAGAAGTCAAGGGACTTGATGAGGAACATACAGCCTAAGAGAACTCATGCACATTTCACCCCAAGAGGATAAACACATGTGAGGCTGAAGGGGCCCAGATGACAAAGTTGCTCAGAACATATAGAATACACATGTCACTCAAACTGGTTGTCTCTGAGAAGTTTGAACAGCACCCAGATATGCAGCCAGGCTTGTGAACCAAGAGAACAGAGTCCAGCAAGACCATCCTGGCACATGGACATAATGTAGCCATCTGATGATGGGGTGGGGGCTCCATACGAAAGTCGAGTGGGGACAGGATAAAGACACCAGTACTTATCAAGAGCTTCATCTTAGAAAGGCTATATTATAAAAGGCCAGACCTTGCACACACCCATGTTTATAACAGCTTTGTTCAGAATAGCAAAGAGCTGGAAACAACCCAAGTGCCCATCAACAAATGAATGGATAGAGAAGCTCTGCTGTATTCACACAATGGAATGCTATGCAGCATTGAAAAACAAGTAACTCATGAAATATTATGCAAAATGGATGACCCTGGAGGACACTATGCTGAGTGAAATATCTCAGTCCCAAAAGGACAAATATTGCATAGGGCCACTGTTGTAAAATGGGACTGACATGGGGTTTGAAAGAAGACAGAGAAGGAGGGGAGGAATGATGTATACTGCATTGAAACAGATGAGGGAGAGAACTGCTTAAAAGGGACATATGATTGAGTATTACTGTCATGACAGGAGTCCAGAGTAAAGGCTGCATAGTGGAATGGACTTGGGGGGAGGGATTGCATAACAAGGAAAGAGTTTTTCTTTTTCTTTTCAAGAAGAGTGAATTGGCGGGTGAGGGAGTGGGTAGGGAGAAAAGTGCAACAATGAATGACTGGAAAGTTTAAGTCTATGTAAACGTTCATTAAAATTAATTAAAAAATAAATAAAAGGCCAAACCTGGGTTTAGCTCCCTGGTTAACGACTCACAGCAGGTTTTCCTCTCTGGTTCTGTTCCCTGGCCATCCCCACTGACCTTTCCCTTTGTGGGTGAGCTCTCTCTATCTGTGTGCATATATTGCACACAGCATCTACATTAGTTGGAAATGACTCAAAGACAATGTCTTTAAATGAATTGTGCTTTTTCAAAATCCACATTTGTACTGTGTGGATCACAACAAAACTGTGGCTAACTCTGAGAAGAATGGGAATCCTAGAACACTTGATTGTACTTATGCAAAACCTGTACTTGGACCAAGAAGCAACAGAGCAAGGTAACACTGCATGGTTCAAAATTGGGAAGGGTGTGTATCAGGGAAGTGTCCTATCTCTCTATCTTTTCAATCTATATGTGGAAGAGATTATCTGGGAGGCTGGACTCTATGAGGAGAAGTGTGGCATCAAGATTGGAGGTAGACTCATCAACAATCTATGTTATGCAGATGACCCAACCTTTAAATATGAAAGAGAAATAAAGTCATTTGCATAAAAACAAAAATTTAAGGAATTTGAGAAAGCAAGACTAACTTTACAAGAAATACGAAGGAAAATCTTTCACACAAAGACAGCAAAGGAAAGTGGATGGACCATAGTTAGCAGAAACAAAAACAACAAAAAGAAACATGGCAAAATAGCAAGATAAAACTAGCCTGTCACCTTTCTATGAAGATGGTGCTGAAAATGAAGAAGGAAGCCCCTGTCCCGCCCCAAACTGAAGCCAAAGCAAAGACATTAACGACCAAGAGGGCAGTCCTGAAGGGCATCCACAGCCACACACACACAAAAAAATTT